AAGGTTTAGCATGGAAGGGTCGAAAAGGGGTTTTCTTCCCGTCACTCATGGGGTACATCTTTCAAAGGCTATGTGCCCGAAGTCAAAGCCTGAGAAGGATCGCATGAGTGGAATTTCATATGCTTCGGCTATTGGATGCATCATGTATGCCATGATATGTACGAGACCAGATGTCTCATATGCTTTGAGCATTACGAGAAGATACCAGTCGGACCCTGGAGATGGTCACTGGACAGCAGTCAAGACCATCCTTAAATACTTAAGAAGAACTAAGGATGCGTTTCTGGTCTATGGTGGGGTTGATGAGCTAACATTGAAAGGGTTCACTGATGCCAGCTTTCAGAGTGACAAAGATGACTGCAAGTCACAGTCAGGGTTCATATTCACCTTAAATGGTGGGGCAGTATCTTGGAAGAGTTCAAGCAGGAGACAACAGCAGATTCAACGACAGAAGCTGAATATATAGCTGCTTCAGAAGCAGCTAAGGAGGCCGTGTGGATCAAGAAGTTCATATCTGAACTTAGGGTGGTTCCAAGCGTGGATGAGCCCATACAGTTGCTTTGCGACTTCACTGGAGCCATTGCGCAGTCAAAGGAACCTAGGTCTCATCAAAGATCTAAGCACGTTCTCCGCAAATATCACCTGATTAGAGAAATCATTGATAGGATGGATTTAAAGATGGATTATGTTCCCACAGATGATAACCTAGCCGATTCTCTGACAAAGGCTGTTTTTCAGAGAAAACATGATAGTCATTATGAGGCTTTGGGTATACGACTTAGGTCTGATTGGCTCTAGGCCAAGCGAGAGCTTGTTAGTATATGGATGTCCTAGAGACAATCTTTTAATTAGATTAGGACATATGTGGACCTTTGTATTGTCGCAAATAAATAAAAGCACTATTTATCCTGTTTCATATTTTGTCTCAATATTACTGTTAATATTTTATATGAGTAACTGGATAAACCCCTTGGAATAAAATAGGTATCTCTTGAGTATCTGTGATGAGATCACGATCATGAGGATTCAAGGATACTGTATATTTATTCCTAATTTTATGTTCCTAGTCTAGAGACACTGAGAATGGGGATCAGTGATCTCGGGTAAGACTAGCACGACTTATCTACTTGTATTCGGATGCAAGGTAAAGACCTCATGAGCTACAGATATGGAGATGTCTTAGCTAAATTCGTGGGTGGATCTATAAGGGTATAGCTCGCACTGAACAGACCCATAAAAGAGACTCTATGAGGAAATCTCACAGAGAGTATCATTAGAGTAGTCTCTTTATATTTGGGTATGTCTTTCCTTAGACCAGAAGTTATTACCTAGACTGTGTTCTAGAAGGCATGCTTTGACTGTATACCTCATCTGCCTGAAACATAGAGACTCATAGGTATACTGTTGGGCTTGTCCTGAAAGAGCACAGGGCTAGGGTGATAAGCTGAAGGAATTCGTCAAATCTCTGTGAGAGATTAGGTTATCTGTAAACCGGAGAAATCGGGATGACATTTACAGGGACTCGGGAATCTATGCATAGTAAAAGAGATCGTGAGATGATCTGCCTTTAGAGTCAGTAAATTGAAGATTCCCTATTTCGAATAAAGCTTACCCTAAACCGCAAGGGTTGATACGCTTCCTTACCCTAGGTTTTACGGGAAGGTAACCGAGACGAAAAGAAATAGATACGGCAACCAAATATGTGTAATAGGATGATCAAGTCATTAATCTAACTAGCTCTGGGGCAACAAAGCATTGCTAGTGCTCTGTGTCGTCATTAAATGGGTTATGGGCTTGTTGGGCCCGAGCTCATTTATGTCAGTGGCTATGTTGGACCTAATGGGTCACACACTAACACCTTAATGTCATGATGATATAGCATTAAAGGTATTGGGCCTAATAATGGTTGTTAGCCCAAGATGAAGTTTGGAAGCCCACCTAAGAGGGAGAGGGCGCATGGTATTGTTAATGGGCTTGTATGGTCCAAGACATTACTAATGAATTTAATTGGTTAAATTAATTATCAAATATTTAAATTTTGAATTTTGAATTTGAATTTTGAATTTTGAAATTTGAATTTTGAATTTGAATTTTGAAATTCGAATTTTGAATTTGAAATTTGAAATTTGAAATTTGAATTTTGAAATTGGAATTTTGAATTTGAATTTTGAAATTTGAATTTGAAATTTGAATTTGAATTTAGAATTTAAATGTTTGAACGTTTGAATTTAAATGTTTGAATTCGAATTTGAATTGACTATGAAAAGTTGTTTCACAACAAAAGGATAAGATGAGATTTTGTTGGAACAAATCCCTTGTATCAAGAGAAGATCTATGGAGATCTCCAAGGGCTGGTTTGGGGCTCCATTTTGGTGGAAGATGATTGTCATCTTGTCAAACCAACAAGCTCCAATCAGATTTGGTTGTTGAGAGAATCAGTGAGCTAGTTGGTTCAAACTTGAATGCAACAGCTCAAATGTATCTGGACCCTTTTTGGGCTGAATAGGGGCGCATAAATTGGTGGTCTTATGATGACCATTGGTTCAGAATTTTGACTAGATAAAGACCTAGTCTTATGAGGATTCAAAGGGGAGGTTGTTGGGATTTTTGAATTGCAACAACTCCACCTTTGTCTCACTCACTTTTGCGCCACTTTCATTATAAGTAAAGTAAAAATTCTGATTTGATATACTAATTCTCTCCCTCTCTTGTGCGCCTAGTTGGTGAGTTCCTCCTTAAGGTTTTTCAAAAGAACCTAGCCAATTCTTCGATATACCATTCCCACTCTTGTGAAGTTTTCATGCTAGAGATTTCACTCTTCTAAACACATATACATAGCCTCTTTCTTCACCTATTGAGCGCATAGCAAGCCTCTCTGTGGTGGTCAATTGGTGGCTTTCAAGAAAGCGTTCTTGCATCTTGACGTGGGTGGTGTGGATCAACGTTAGAGGGTTTGAACCCTTCAAACCTAACATTGATCGTCTTGGAGTTTTGAACTCACAAACAAAGGTACCATCACATGCCATAAAGCACGATTCTTGATTGCATGTGTAATTCCGCATATGAAAAATTTTGTTTTTCCCTCTCACATGCTACGGCCTTTAGTGTCTCTAGACTAGGAACATAAAATTAGGAATAAATATCTGGTATCCTTGAATTCTCATGATCGTGATCTCATCACAGATACTCAAGAGATACCTATTCTATTCCATGGGGTTTATCTAGTTACTCATATAATATATTAACAATTATATCGAGACAAAATATGAAACATGATAAAGAGTGCTTATGCTTTATTTGCGACAATATAAAAGGTACACATATGTCCTAATCTAATCAAAAGATTGTCTCTAGGACATCCATATACTAACAGAGATTTGTTGGGCTTCCTCCTTCAATGTTAAGCCCAAGCCCATTGAGGGGTTTCCTAAAAACCCTAAACCCTAGATCTCACCTCCTCTATATATTCATTAGTTGTGGGTATCGGTTAGGTTAGAGATTAAGAGAGAGATTAGAAATTTGAGAGAAAATTGTTTGAGATTTGAGAGCAAAGCTTTATGCTTTGCATTTGAGAGATCTCTAGAGAGAGTTTAAGTGAAACATCTATAGGGTAGTTTGATTATCACCATTGTTGGAGAGGTTGAGTTAACCACCACATTGGTGTATTTGATTCTTTGTAACCATTATTTTCATAGTGGATTTTTTATTTGGACTAGGTCCCGTGGGTTTTTACTTCTTCATTGAAGAAGGTTTTCCCACGTTAAAACTGCTTGTGTTCTCTCTCTTTCCTTCTCTCTCTCTCTCTCCTATTTGTGTTTTTTATTTTTCCGCTGCGCTGCCAGACATGGTGAAGTTCAGGCCGAGGTATTGCCGAGATTCGAGATCAGGATCTTGTTGATTGACTTCCGCAAAAAGGCTGCTTAGCCGAGCTTGAAGGAACCGAGTTCCCAACAGGTTATGCATTTGCGCATTCCAGTCTTGGTTGAAAGAATGAGTAGCAAGCTAATCTGCTACTCCATTCCCCTCTCTAAAAATATGCTATTTTCGAACCAACCATGGTCTACAAAGAACTTCTCAAATTGCCTTTACCAGCAGAAATGATGGGTGATTATCCTAACAGATATATGTTTGGTGATTTGAATATTATAATAAATCAATAATTTATGTATAAATATGCATAAGACATTGTTGAGAAAAAGATGGTTTTTCCCTAATGATATTGTTGTTGCTATATCTGCTCCAATAATGAATAATTGATTTAACTGAATAACTAAATTTTGAATATAGTTTATATTCACATGGCATTATTAATTTCAAAATTACTTATAAGTCTGTTATAGGAATGAATGCCAAATAAATTCAGAAATAAATGTGAAACCAGTTTTGTTGCTGTTGTAACCAGTTTAGGAGATACGTTTTACAAAAAATATGAGATACTTTTATAGTGAGCCTATAACAGTACGAATTAATTTGTTAATTTTAAACTTATGTGATGAGAGCGTAACACCACAACCTCATTAGTGAACACGTGATAAATTAATATAAGTTATGTGTTCTTGTGCATGCAGCTTACGTTATAAGTATGGAATGAAGGCCCACTTTTCATTATATCCATTGCTTGTTGCAATCTTATAAATATATTCCCCTAATTCCTTTAACCTTTATATAGGATTATTCCTTCCTTGGAAATTTTGATAACGGACATGGCATCTTTATCAAAAGCAAAAGCTGCATGAAATCATTATTACAAAATGCCGATTTTACCCCTACTTTTATCACATGAATCAAGAACATGCAAGGTTATATTGTAAAATCCAGCGTAGATGTCACAATAAAAAAGTTAGCAGACAAATCTTCTTTGAATCACTCTCTGCTAAAGCTACTATGGTAGGTGCAAAATCTAGCCCACACTTAATCTTATAAATTGGAACAATAACCAACAGAACAAGGCATCATCATTTGCATCAAAACTTGAGAGATCGAAAGAGATATCCATTAAAATGTCGACAAAGGCAGTTGCGAGTGTTTCCAATATGCTGCGAGCGAACGCTTCGAACCCATTAACTTGGCCTGATGATAAGATTCTGGAGACAGTTTACATAACCCACGTCCACACCGCTGAAAGGTACGATGTGGAATCGCTTTTCAACGTTACTTCAAACATTATCAAGCGTTCCACCGCAGCTGCTGACAGTGTCGTAGTTAAGGTAACCTTCAATAAATCCGTCGCTGCCACAATTATTCATGAGTTTATTTTATGGGTTTGTCACTTCTACTATTGCTCCATATCAGAAATTTTACAACAAACATATTTATATTATGCATTTTTAAAAAAAAAAAAAAAAACCAATATGTGCTTGCGTACAATGCAATAAATTTTCTTCCGGCAACATAAGTACATTTATCTTATTATATATATATATATATATATATATATATATATATATATATATATATATATATTGAGAGTATAACTTACACTAGTGTAAAATGATCCAGACCCCACACACACATATATATATATATATATATATATATATCGTTTCTGCTATCGCTGCAGATGGAAAAAATTGCAGCAGACTTATTAACACTAGGACACAGAGCCATATCCTGCAATAACAAAATGAATAAAAAAATTTCAAGACACAGAATCATATCCTGGTGAAAATAAGTATTGTTGCAAATTTCTGATATGCAGCAACATAATAGCTATAAAAGCCATATATATATATATATATCAAAATTATTTTATGTTTGTAGGAGAAACATCAATTCTAAAAGTGTAGAGTGAGCTCACCTTCGAATTATGTGTGTAGGAAAAAAATATCAACCCAATATTTATATACGTATAAGGGAAAAAAGTTCATGCTTCTGAATGACACAATTTATATCATTTCACTCTCACAAAGAGGTGGGACCCACACCTTTATTTTTTTTGTAACTCTCCCTCTTTCTTTATCTATCTCTTTCTCTCTCTTAATGACACAACTTTATATCCTTTAAAATGACATACACTCTTTCCTATGTATAATTACAAAATGAAAACCATTAATTCTACCATTTGTTTTGCAGAGTGGTACACCCGCTGGTCTTATAGAAGACAAGGCTCCCTTATCCAGTTTCGACCCACCGTTCCGTAAACTGAAGCACATTGTTTCTCAGGTTATTCTGTAGCATATTGATTAGTAATCCTTATGTTAAAGTTATAATAAAAACCATACATGTCCTATACTGTTCATGACATGGCATAGAACCTATGATCAGATGGACTATATTTTGATCCTTATTTCTTATCACCCAATTTTCTAATAAAAAAAGTTAAAATTTCAGCTTTTTGTTCATTATAATTCAATTTTTGAAAAACAAGAAACAAAATATAGGGTGGAAACGCGTTCCAATTACGCAGAGCCTGTGCACATTTGGGCATTGATCCACCAAATGTCGCAAGCTAAATTAGCTTATTTTGTTTACAAAAAAAAAAAAAAAAAAAAAAAAAATAGCTTATTTTACGACAGTTAGCTGTGGCTAATTTGCTATGCTGAACGAGTTACAATTAACCATGGTTAATTTAGCTTATGCTACTTGGCAGTCGCTATTTCGACCAATACCTAAACGTGTTCCAGGCCCTGGGCAATTAACTTGAATACACACCCATGCGCGTTTATTCTTTTTAGTTTTGAATTATTTTTTATATTTCTTTTCAAAAGTGACATTCAAATGATTAAAATACCTTAAATTTCTGTATAAGATAGATGAAACAGTGCAATATCTAATCTTCAAGCTTAAAGAGCTATGGACACCTTGGTATGGGATGCATTATTTTGGGCAAATAAATGTGTAACAACTTATGTGGTAGTTGTTAATATGGAAGTTAAATCAAGAAATATGTAACTTCACCTAAATTGAAGTTCTAAGGAATCAAGTAAATCCTCCATGATTACAAATTAAATTAGACACATGCTATAATGGCACATCACATTTGCTAGTAATGTTTTTAAATAGGCGAAGGATATTGTAACAACCAAGTTGTGTTACTACCATATTACTACCAATCAATCTCACCGTTAGATTGATTATGTTGATCTAACGGTTATATTTATTTCTATTTTTGTATGGTCATGATTTTTCAAATTTAATACTTTATATTTATTTTCATCTTTGTATGGTTATGATTTCTCATATTTAATGCTTTTACTTTTAAATATGAGGAATCATAACCATACAAAGATGGAAATAAATATAACCGTTGGATCAACATAATCGATCTAACGGTGAGATTGATTGATAATAATATGGTAGTAACACAACTTGATTGTTACAATATCCTTCCTATTTTAACTATATGAAATTTATACACCATCTTTTATGTATCTTTATCTTTAATATATTATTTATTTCGAGGTTGTAGATGATGAACACACCTCATGGTGAGCATAACGCACACCTGACAACAATGTCGATACTTGATCAGCTGAAAACCTATTCGTGGGATGGAAAAGCAGTATTAGCTCTAGCTGCTTTTTCTTTGGAATATGGGAATTTCTGGCACCTTGTTCAGGTTCCAAGCGGGGATCAACTTGGAAGATCATTAGCCGTAATGAATCGAATTCATAGCATTGACAGGAATAGGCAAGCCATTGCTGAGTATAACAGTTTGGTCAAGAATGTATTGATAGCCGTTGAGTGTATCACTGAGTTGGAGAGGCTTTCTACCAAAGGTTATGACCCAAAGGATGTGCCAGCATTGTCAGAAGCCTTACAAGAGATCCCTATTGCTGTCTACTGGGCAATCATCACTATTGTAGTTTGTACTAATCATATTGATTTTCTCATGGGTGATTCGTAAGTTATCCCTCATTTCCAAATTACTTGTTTGATTCTTGAAATATATCTTGCATGGTAATTTTCTGTTCTAGACCCATGTAATATGCCCATTCGATCCACCCAGGTAAAATTCCCCTAAAGGGTAAAATCTCACGGTTACACCTCTAAAAACCTTAATCCTTATAAATATCACTTTACCCCCCGCGGAAATATGTAATATACTATTGTCGCACCCATTTGTTTAGTGTTACCATCTAATAGAGATTCATGAATGACTGTGATATTTGTACATATAGAAGAGAGAAATATTTTTTTTATCCAAATATCAGTTGTTCAATGAAAGAGCTACATACTACATTTGTATGGAAGATGTCCTCCCCCCTTCGCCTTTGACTCCTAGATCCTTGTTTGTGCACAGTGATATATATGCCACCTTGCACAACTATTTCCTCCACAAACACCACTTGCTCACACATCCAACAAAAACCTTGGTCCACTAGGACAAACACTTTCATTTAATTCACTACATCTATTATTTTGGCACACATTCAATGAGAGGACGAACTCATCATTTATATAAATTGTTTTAGAATGTTATAACCTTAATAGTAACTTTGACTTTGTTTGATTAATTCATAATTTTTTTTGATATGTTGTCGTATTATTTTTGCAATATTTCGCAACCAGGCTCACCTCAAAGTTTTAACAAATTTGTTTTCTAGTTTGATTATTCTTTGTTTATATATATATATATATATATATATATATATATATATATATAAAATTATATTTACAAACTTTTTGTTTACAAGTATGACCGGTCATACTTAATGTAATTTGTAAAAAAAATTTGTAAACGGATCATATATATATATATATATACACACACGCGTTTCACAATCACACTTTCACAATGGCAGTGTTATAAAATAATTATCAACATACGTGCATACAATATATGATTAATGACATCCTACTGTAACCAGTTATTTTCTTTTTGTTTTCTGTAGTAGAAGACTTTATATAACTTCAATTGCTTTCGTTCAGGGAGGACAGATATGAATTATCGAATTTTGATGACAAGCTTTCATACATTATCAGCAAATTAAGGGCGCATCTGACAAGGAGCAGAAAGAAAATAGGTTATGTACTTAGTGATTTATTTTTTTATTTTTTATTTTATTTTGTACATTATGACACATGCATTGAACTATAGATGACGAAGGATAAATCTGATGCTCATAAGGGATTACCTCTGTTTATTGCAGTTGAGCTAGAAGATTACTATAGGCGTAAGAGGGTCCTTCAAACTCCTACAGAAATTGTAGAGGTTTTGAAGGTTCTGATCTTCCACAACGAAATTCAGGATCCCCAAGTGTACGATGGCTTCATGAGACAAATGGTTAGTATTGAAGTGTTTATGCTACCATGACTATTATTGTCTTTACCATGAATCTTTTACAAAATGATAGTTTGCCTTGGAACAGTTATTCACTGTGACCAAAAAGTTATAGGTTTGAGTCTAGAAAATAGTTTTTTTATAAAAATAAGGATAAGTTTGTATATAATTGAACCTCATCTTTACTCTCGTAAATAGGGGGGTCTTGTGTGGTTTTTCTCATTTAATGAGCTTTTTGACACTTCTAATGAGCTTTTAATGAACATTTCACTCGCATTAAACTGGTAATTAGTTTGTCAAAAGAATTAAATCAGTTAAATGCTTGTGTTTTTGCATCGAAGGGTCAAAAGGCCATTTTAATGTGAATCTTTTAAGAAATGAATAAAGCTCAGTTTTTCTCTTGTGAGTTTAGAGATCTGGAAATTACAGTACTCTGTATTCTATTCAATCATTAGTACAATGTCTGATTTTGAAACATAAAAAAGTTCTCATTTACTTTTAAATTTTTTAATCCAACAGGTTAGCATTGAAGTGTTTAGGCAGAAGCATGTGTTATTGTTCATTACAGGCCTCGACAGCATCAGAGATGAGATTCGGCTTCTACAATCTATATATGAAGGATTGCAAGAAGATCCTAAAGAAGTGAAAGGATACAGAAAACAGGATTTCAAGATTTTGTGGATCCCCATTGTGGATGATTGGAACCTTCTTCACAGGGCAGAGTTTGATAATTTGAAGCTTGAAATGCCATGGTATGTGGTTGAGTACTTCTATCCCTTAGCAGGAATCAAACTTATAAGAGAGGACTTGAACTACAAGAATAAGCCTATAGTCCCAGTGTTGAACCCTCAAGGTAGGGTGGTAAACTATAACGCAATGCACATGATTTTCGTTTGGGGGATCGATGCCTTCCCTTTCCGACCCTCTGATGATGAGCTACTTACTCAGAAATGGAATTGGTTTTGGGCTGAAATAAGGAAAGTGCATCCAAGGTTACAAGACATTGTAAGTACAAATATTGTCTTTTTTATTCATAATTCATTGATTATTCGACTAGTCTGGTTTAAGTATTGTTAAATCTATATTAGGAGTGCACAAGCGACACTTTCAAAACCTTTTTTTTTCCATTCCAGGTCTCAAATTTGAGACCCTAGTTAAGGGAAACAAGATTTTTACTACTAAACTGATGGTTGTTGGTAAATATATTTCAATTATGAATAACAGATAAGGTTGCTAATTGTGACCGGTAGATCACGGATTCGAGTTCAAAAACACATTTTTTGCAAATATGCAAAGGTAGGGTTATAGACAATCGACCCTTATCTCTACCTTCACACGTCGAGAAGTCTATCCAAGTTAGATTTATCCTTTTTTCCTTACGAATGCGAAAAAAACACAATGTTAAATTAATAACAAATTATGTATAAATTCTATGTGAATCAGATGAAAGCGGACACTTTCATCTTCATCTATGGAGGCACAGACAATCAGTGGATGCAAGACTTCTCAGTGGCTGTGGATAAAATCAAAAGGCATGAGATTATCAAGAAAGCTGATGCAATAATAGAGCACTATGCATTTGGAAGGGAAGAGCCAAGGATTGTTCCTCGTTTCTGGATTGGAATAGAGAGCTTGTTTGCAAACATGATTCAAAAGAAGAACAAAGATCCAACAATTGAGGAGATAAAGAGCTTGCTTTGCCTTAAACAAGAACAACCAGGATGGGTTCTTCTTAGTAAAGGGTCTAATGTGAAGCTACTAGGTCGTGGAGAACCAATGTTGTTAACTGCAGCTGAGTTTGAGTTATGGAAAGATAAAGTGCTTGAGAAAGCAGGTTTTGATGTTGCTTTCAAAGAATACTATGAGAACAAGCAACGAGATATTCCTCCTGTTTGTGCACATATGCAATTGGCTAATTATCCTGCAGATATTCTTGACCCTATAAATTGTCCAGATCCAATGTGTAGGAGAGCAATGGAAATAGCTTCTGTGAGTTACAGGTGCTGCCATGGTCACCCTCATAAAGCTGAAGTTCCAGAGAGTGGTGCTGTTATGATTGAGAAAAAGTTTTCTTCTTAGGTTTGGTATTAATATGTGTGTACTTTTTATGTTTTTGTCTTTTTTACGTTTCAGAAGCTGTGCTCTTGCCTCTTCTGTGCCCTTGTTGAATGGGTTGAAAATAATGGATACAAGTTCATCTGTTCTGTTTTATTTATTTTATTTAAATTAATAAAAAACGAGTTATGCTTGCACAATATCAAACATTCTGGTTCATAATGTTTTCTTTGAGATTTGAACTCACATTGTTCGTTTTGTATTTTAATATTTTTTAAATATTATTTATCGATTCATAGATTAATAGATGGAACGCCTTAAAGACAGAATGGAGAAAAATTATTAGTACGGTGGAATGTTAGATCCGTTATTATTTTAATGCTCTATTAAATGATTCTTTTGTTCCTCTTTATTCCCCCTCCTTCTTTTCCCCGTTCCCTATCTTTTTATATATTTTTTTATTTTTTACTTATTTATTTTTTTGACACCCGTTTTATTTTTATTTTTATATTTTATTTATTTATTTTTATTTTTATCCCTTCGTACGTACCTTTCATTTAGGTTCCTTTACTATCCATCCTAATTAGTTTGGGATAAGAGTATTGATGTTGATGTTGATTTATTTATTCATAAATTACTCGACTAGTCTAATTCAAACCGGATATCATTATATACTATTAAGTTTTAACATAATTACATTAGAAGAAAGTCAAACTCAAGACTATGGATTAAGTTGGAACACCTTACATTTAATATGATTAGGGTTGACAAAACGGAAAAACTCAGCTCGACCCTGCCCAACCTGCATGCAATCCGAAAAAATCGAGCCAGGTTAGGGTTGGCTCGAAAAAACAAACGAGCCCGAAAATCCAACCCAACCCGACCCGAGTCGAGTTAGGGATGGCTCGCGGGTTGGCTCGTTTTCAGCCTATTTAAATAAACATGTAGTATTAATGCACCAGCTATGTGACTTCCATCAGCTTAAACAAAGGGTTACAAAATGAGAAATAAAAGCAAAATATTCTAGTTTCGAATTTTCTTCACAACAAATTTGCACCAACATCAAAAAACAATCAAAACCACTTGCTACCAAGTAGGTAAGATATTTGAACCAAACAGAGCCAGCACAAATGGCAGGGATGTGAGAAGATTATGGACTTAGGTTTAGAGAAAGAAGAAAGATGATGACAACATGTGTGGGTTTTGTCTATTTTTTATATATTATATTTTGTATTTTTTTATAAAAAAAAAAATCAACCTGCAAGCTGGCCCGTTTGATCCGCGGGTTGACTCATTTTTTTTCGAGCTGGCTCGGGTCGAGTTGCTCAGGTTGGCAGCTCATTTTTGCCAACACAATCCGACTCATTTTTGGCGAGTTATGAACCAACCCGACGAGTTGACTCGTTTTTGCCGACCCTGATCATGGTAGCCAACACTAGTAACCTCAATCTTTGAATATACAAAAGATAAGAAATATGAAAAGACCAAAATATATAAACTGAGAAAGAATTACAAAAATAATAAAACAATAATAAAAATAGAGCTATTATCGTAAGTGAGTGGTGGAGCACCCGTACACCCATTAGAAAAATATATATAAAAAAAATGAAACATATGCCACAAGTCTTAAAAGTTGAAATATGAGTTAATTATTAATATTTAGGGAAGCCCTGCTCTTATCAATAATTACAGCTGTCACCTTTAATTATATATCGTTGCCCTTCTTAATTGTTTTTAAAATAAAAAATAAAAAAATCGCGCCCATATTATGCATAACTCATAGCATAAAGACGGTCCCCGAAATGGGGAAAATTAAGTAGTTCCTCAAAGATGGGTGATGGGTCCATCGTTTTGTGGATAAGGGATCAGCTAAAGGGACAAGGGTAATAACCTCAGTCTACCCCTAGAAGATAAGGGATAAGCCATTTATCTCATTTCATCAATAATCACATGCTCACGATGACTTTACATCTACAGGTATTCCACCTATAAAAAGGGATTAAGCCTACCAAATATACACCTTTGGCTCATTTAATCTTTGGCTACATCATTATTATTCGTGCATAGTGATTAGTGACCTCTTGCAATGTCTCCTCCATAAACATCCACGAGCCTATTGATCCAAGATACAATTATCAATCTCCGGTTAAATATTCCTGATCCTCTTGGATAGTTAAAATCTTGAAGCTATTGAGAGCAACCAGGATGCGATAAGCAAATTTCAATATTTAAGGGTGCCATATCCTACATCTAGAATTGATTCTATTGTTGAGATCCTCAAATGCTTAAAAGGCCATGAAGTGGATTTGTTTCCATTATTAGAGCTAGAAACTAATGTTTGTTTGTGTTAACTAGATAAGGGCATATATTGGATTAAGATTTCTTAATGCTAATAATGTCTTGGTATTGTTAAAACTTGATAGATTGCATATGCTGAGGTGGAAAGGGCTAGGCAAAGAAATTAAACTTAATGAACTTGGATGGAAGTTTCATTCGCAAGTCCGCGAAGGATCTAAAAGGAAATGATTAGAATATGACTAGTAAGATCAACTTTAGAGTTTTATCTTGGCCAAAAGGAAAAGAGTATCTTTTACTTGTAAATAGACGCACTCGGAAGAAAACATATGGGTGGGTCAATTGACTTGTCTTTGTATACATTTTAAATCATATTATCTGAGACTCAATTAATAACCTTCTCTATTTTAGCAAATATACATAGACTCTAAATATACATAGACTAACTTGAAATACTTTTCTTTTTACGAGAAAGTTTTTTTTTTATATAGGAAAAGTTTAAGTAGTGTTAGACATCGGTATTTTATCAGGGTTAGAAAAGACCCTCAACTTCTTTGAGAGTTTTCAGGAGGGATTACATCTCACTTAATGGGCTTGGCCCAATACAACAAAGGACTTGGCCCAATACAACAATAAATGACTAAATAAAAACTAAATAATCAATATTATTTACAACACTCCCCCTCAAGCTGAGGAATAGATATTTATCATTCCCAGCTTGCTAGTAAGTTCTTGAAATCTGTCTGAAGGAAGCCCCTTTGTTAATAGATCAGCTAATTGACGCCTAGTGGGAATGTATGGAGTGGTAATCAACCCGCTATCAAGTTTATCTTTGATGAAATGGCGGTCGACCTCAATATGTTTAGTCCGATCATGTTGAACTGGATTATGAGCTATACAAATAGCAGACTTATTATCACATAGCAGCTTCATAGGTCCCTCACATTTTATTTTGAGATCATCAAGTACAATTTTCAGCCACAGTAACTCACAAATGCCTTGAGCTATAGCTCGAAATTCAGCTTCTGCACTTGATCTGGCAACCACATCTTGTTTCTTACTTCTCCATGTCACCAAGTTACCGCAAAGAAACATGCAATAACCAGCGGTAGAACGACGGTCAGTCACGGATCCAGCATAATCAGCATCTGTGTAGACTTCTAAAGATAGATTGCCATCACGTCGGAATAACAATCCTTTACCAGGAGTACCTTTAAGATACTGAAGAATTCTCTCTACTGCCTGCATGTGTTTTTCCTTTGGATCGTGCATAAACTGACTGACAACACTAACAGCATAAGCTAGGTCTGGTCTAGTATGGGCCAGATATATCAATTTCCCAACTAGCCGTTCATATTGTCCTTTATCAACTGGAGGACTTTCTTCTTCATAGCCCATCTTGTGATTCTGCTCAATAGGAGTATTAGAGGGTTTACACCCGAGCTTTCCTGCTTCTTTGAGAAGATCAAGAACATATTTTCTCTGGCTGATAAAAATTCATTTGCTTGAATGAGCTACTTCTATCCCTAGGAAATATCTCAGTTTCCCAAGGTCTTTGATTTCAAACTCAGAGGCAAGCCGTGTTTGCAGAATCTGTCTCTCCACAAAATTATCACCTGTGATAATAATATCATCAACATATACAAGGAGCACAGTAAGCTTCCCATTTTGGGAGTGCTTGAAGAAAAGAGTGTGATCTCCTTGGCTCTGTCTGTATCCTAAGGTCATCATAACCTTAGTAAATCTTCCAAACCAAGCACGAGGTGACTGCTTCAATCCATACAAGGCCTTTTTTAATCTACAAACTTTATTTTCCCCCTTCACAGAATCAAAACCAGGCGGGATTTCCATGTAGACTTCTTCTTCTAACTCACCATTGAGGAAAGCATTTTTCACATCAAATTGATTTATATCCCAATTGTAATGGGCAGCAAGGGATAACAAGATTCTCACTGTATTCATCTTTGCAACTGGAGCAAAGGTTTCTTCATAATCAATGCCATAGGTTTGAGTGTAACCTTTGGCCACTAATCGAGCCTTATATCTCTCAAGAGTGCCATCAGAATTATATTTCAGGGCATAAACCCATCTGTACCCTACTGCTTTCTTTCCGTTGGGTCTATCAATAACCTCCCATGTTTTATTTTTCTCCAAAGCATTCATCTCCTCTTGCATGGCTTAAGCCCAATTCCTATCTTTCAAGGCTTCATGTACTGATTTTGGGATTGCAATAGAATCTAGTGCTGAAACAAAGCTTTTGTGCTGCACAGAAAGATTAGCAGAGGAAACAAAGTGGGAGATAGGGTATTGAGTACAAGAGGGACATGAGGAACAAGTTTTCTTGTGACAAGATCTTTTTCCTTTTCTCAGAGCAATAGGTAAGTCATCAGAAGTAGAAGCAATGGGTAAGTCATTAGAGATATCAGAAGGAATAGACAAATCATGAGAGGAAATAATATTAGAATCAGAAACAAGAGATTCAGGAGACTCAGAAGAAATAGGAGATTCAGGACTTACCAGTGGTTCAGACGATTGAGGTTGCTGGTGAGACAGTATGGGTTGTATCTCAGGTGTATTTGAAGGTTCTGACACACCAGGAGCAGACACACTAGGAAGAGAGAAGATTGATCCAGACTCAAAGAAGGAAGGGGACGAGTCTTCTGAAGAACTATTCTCCCCCTGACGATGAGGACCCGGGAAATAAGATTCAGATTCTTGAAAGGTGACAT